AACAACAACAAAAAGACAACATTAAAGCAAATGAAAGAAAAGGCGGGGCATGCAAGGAGCTAGGGTTTAAGTCAGGCTTATACTACAGATACTGAGAGGTCATGGGCAGGAGAAAGGCAAGGGGGAGGTCATAGGGATGGGGAGCAAGGGCAATAGCTTCAAAGTTTGAAGTTTGGGCAAATAGAAGACAGAGTCTGGATTGCCTTACAGGGTTCATTTAATTCTATCAGCAGTAGAGGACCATGTTCAGGCAGGAAGCGAGGACAAAGTTGTACCTGCTGAATGTCATCAAAGGCTTGGCAAGGGATGAAACTAATATGAGCAAAAAGAGAAGAGGAAACTGCTAATGACACCACTGGCACAGGGCTCTATTCTGTGAAGGGAAAGGTTGGAATGGAAGCAACTTCTGAAAGGGAGGAGGGCTGATTTTGCCAAAGTCGGATCATGCAGTTCAAGTGAGCTGGAAGGGATGCTTACAGCTGGAGGGGTGTGACAGCTCGGCAAGCCCTTACCTCTCCTGAGTCTTTCTCATAACTGGTAAAAGATTTATCTCAGCTGTTTGGTGTGTTTTGCAAAAACTGTTTATGAATAAGCTGGGGAGGGATTGCCTATCTTTGAAAACAGGTGTATATTTGAGAGTCTCAGGTCGACTCAAATGAAGGCTAATCAGTCCTTTCGTTTTAATAGCATCCCATGATCCCTACTCTTGAAGAACAGGCAGATATCCAGGGATTTTTTATTATTATTATAGGGAATGTTCTTGCATGTCTACACTCTTTATTCTTATATAATTGGGTCTTTTTTTTTTTTTTTGTATTCTTTGTATTTCTTTCTACTTCTTGAGTTTTAAATTCTTGGATTATTTCAGTATTATGCAATGTAGGAACATGGAAGCTTGGCTGGACAATGGTGCTGACAATTTCTATGTCAGGGTGTAACTGCCTGGCACAGTCTTTGCTGTTTTGCATTCCTTTGCAAAGTATGCCTTTGTTTAGTCTTGAGGGAGGAGGCTTCTTCGTTTTCCATATGCTCAGGACATGGCTAATGACGGTGCTGCTTGGTAGGGAACGCAGATGTTGGCATTTTCACAGTTTCTCCAATTGCTCCTTCATTCCTTTTGCAAAGTTTTAGGTGTCTAATCTATAGTGAAGGATTGAGACTTTGTTTTCTCATTATTTCTAAGCACAGTTACATAGGTTATGGCAGACAAATCGTACCTCCTTTCTGAGTTATCTCATTTATTTTTAAAATATGACAATCTGTTTTCTACCATATGTAGTATGTTAGAGAGGGCTTGGCGAATTAATTAGTACCCTTTGAAGTTGTAAAGTCCTTTCCTAGCTGGGTGCCTTTGAAGCTAGAAAACAGTTTGTAACAGCTAAATGTTAAATATCTTTATGATTTTATATTGTAGTTGCACACGACAGTTTGAAATGAAGCCTTATATTTTCATGACAGAGGACAGGAAACTTTTCATCCCCTGTGAGAATGCAAGGTCATTTATCTGTGCACATGATACCCAGAGGAATTTTACTATCCTCACTGAACTATATCGATGCTTTCTAGGAAAAGTAATTGATACTAATAAAAGACCACTTTCAGCTTATCTATTTTAAAAGTTGATTTTTTTTTTGAAAGGAAATGAGCTTTGGGGATTGAGATATTTACTATAGACATTATGTATGTTACAAAAATAAACTATAGATACTGCATATGGATCTTGTAAGTGTAACCCAAACGGATGCCTGGGCTCCTTCTCTTCCCCTGACTTGGGATTTAAGTTGTATCTCTCCAGGGAAGGCAGTTGGAGCCCCACCTGTTCCCATTTGGAGCAGAGGTTTGTGCAGCACTTCGGGAAGTCATGATGGTGGTCACAACTCTGAAGGTAGTTGTGACCAACACCAGTAATCATGACCAGGAGAACAATGGCAATAGTGATGCCCAGTCACCCTCACCATGGAAAAAGAAGGGATAAGAACTATTTCTTGTATTTTTAAACTCTTTAGATCTACACGTCTCCAAGTTTGTAAAAATACTGAGGGATAGGCAGTTAATGTTCACTTTTTTTGTTGTTGTTGTTTAGCATTAAACTTTATCGTGAACTAATTCAGACTTAATAGAAAAAGTTGCAGACAAATTTACACTTTATAGGCGAGAAAGTTTCATTATAGAATGAATAAATGATTCATTTAAATTCAGATAATAAAATAGGTGCTTGATAAATACTTATGGACTGGTGAGAGTAAGAAATAACTGAAACTGGGGTCTCTTGGATTAATAATAATAATGATAATTATTATCTCCTGGATAATAATTAATTATCTCCAATAATATTTTACTCCCTATTGAATTTCTCAAGGTTAAAAACACTTTTAGTACTTATAATTTATAGTAAATTATAAGTTATTCTTTGGTAGCTCTAAGTCGAGATAGAGTATTTGGTGTTTTGCTGACTATTTCTTATTAATAAATGACCGTGTGGCACACAATGAAAGACATTTATAAACATAAAGTCTTTAATGCCGTAGATTACTATTGATTAAACTGTATCATTTTTATCTTCACAGAAATTGGCCCAGTGACAATTACGACAGATCCCAAGAAATTTCAGTATGAACTCAGAGAACTCTATGTTCAGGTGGGGCTTACATTCAATTTTCTTTGAGAGAGATGAAAAATGATGGATCTTGAGATGGCTTTCTTTTTCTTTAAAGTTAAAAGAAGTGATTGTTAGTATTTGTAAGGGACCCAATAAACACCACCTTTTTCCCCTGGCTGAGTCCAGTATGAACAGAACAATGGATGTGGAAATAATCCAGAGTGGGTTGAAAACGTCCTCTTCATTTACACACTGTCTTTGGCTGCTTTTATGCTGCAGTGGCAGGGTTGAGTAGATGCTACAAAGGTTGTTTGGCCCCTCTCAAGGGAAACTTTGCTGACCCCTGCTCTACATAAATCCTTTTACTTAGAAACAGAAGGAACTGGTGATAATTCTCCTCCCTCAACATTAATGGCACAACTAAGATAATTTTGATAATCTGTTCTGTAAGTCGGCCCCATGAAGTTTTTTTTTTTTTTTTTTACCATAAATATACTTTTATTATTAAATAAGAAGTTGAGTAACATTGGTTTAAATGTTATTTTGAAAATGGACACCTTTTTGGTGCTGCTTTGATGATCCCCAAATCCAGTCATTAAAACAAGTTTGTTTTTTTAGGCTGTTTTACCGTAGTAGTCTCAATGGTATCTGCAGCTGTCAGACTTTTTGGCCACTTTCCATCATTCATCCAGGCAATTGGTACCTGGCTCTTTGGCTGTGTTTCTCCCTCAGGGCTGGGTGATTATGGGAATGATGTAGTCAGAACATTCCCTTGACCTACTAGTTATCTTCCATGACTTTTATTTTCACTCTTAGTCTTCTATTCCCATAGATCCCTCCTGGATCTTGTTATCATAGCAAATGGTTCCATATCCCAAATAATTAATTCAGACATCTTAATCTCCAACAGTGACTCTCTGTCCACTAAGCTTGCTGGTGCAACTTCTCATACTATAATTACTTCCTCACCCTCATCCAAGACTTCAGTTCATTGACACTTTCTCCCAACCCACCCGATCTCTACTTTTCTCACTTTCCTGCAAACTAGCTCAGAGTTTTATTCCTATAAAAGCACTTATTTTTCACCTTTTCCCATCACTTTTATGTTCAAAAAGCAAAAACCTTATTCCCGAAAGACCCTGACTATCTGCATTATCCGTGCTTGTTCACTAGTGGCCAAATGCTGTTGAAGACTCACTTCAACAGGACACTTTGATTCTTTGGTGAATTCATAGCCACATATCTGAAATGGACTCAATACTCCCACGACCTTCCTGTGTTTCCTTGGTCAATACAATCTTCCATTCCTCTTAATAACAATTGAAAATTTTATCTACTCTCCTCAAAACTTTATCTCACCCTCCTCTTACTCCTGGCTATTTCAGTAAATGTTCTACTTGGAGCAAGTGACCTTACTTTCACATACATGTTCGTACAAACGAAGCCCTCTGCTTCCTCATACCTAATGTATGACCCACCTACATCTACCACCCATTCCATCCTAGCCTCTAGTTGATCTCAGCTCCTTGGCTTTCTGGGGATTTTCCCACTAACAAACTACATCTCTCAACTGCTTAAGAGTTCTCATTGACTTTTAAATCTGTTCAAGTCTCTCCAGCAGAAAAACAAACAAATCACAGCAAACAAAACCATGAAAAGCAAAACAAAATAAACAACTTCTCTATTTTTCTAAATCCTTCTACAAATAACAGCTTCTATTTTTTTTTTTTTAATTCTTTCAATGCCAAGCAAGTTGTCTGTGTTCACGGCCATCATTTCCTCACTCCTATCCGTGCCATTTACTCCTCTGTCTGTCTCAATCCAGTGCCCATCCCACTACCCTCCCTCTATCAAAGTGACTTTAGCTAGTGACCAATGAAATTCACTTTGCTAAATGCAATGGAAATGTTTGAATCCTCATGATATTGGCTGGACTTTGTGGTGTTTGACAATGTGGGCCTCTCCCTTCTTGACACATCTGTTCCCTCATTCACTTTCTCATTTTTCTTCCCACTTTTTTCTGCTCAACTTGTTAGGAAAGCTCATTCCCTTGCACTTGGCTGTTAAATGTTGGAGTTCTCAAAGTTTTGGAACTGGTTCCTTTTTATTTTCTCATTTTTTATCCTCTTCTTAGGTAAAATCATCCATACTCATGTAAATATGTTGTAGTTTCAACCTCTTTTCTGGGGAACAGACCCTCATTTCAATCTCTTGGATGTAATAATGGCTCTAGAAAAGGAAATTCATGAACGTTCCTTTGCCAGCGCCCCACACTTGCTCCTTCATCCTTGGTCTTTGTCTACTGTTCATTACTTTTGTGGATGAAGCCTACAGGATTCTGCTTATCCTATCAAATATCTGAGTCTTCCTTAGTATACTTCTCACTTTTACCTTTTATAGCCAAGCCATCATTGAGTCTTTTGTTTTTAACTTTCTAAGCGTCTTTGAAATCTATTGACTGCTCTTCATTGCTGTATGTACTATCTTAGTCCCAATTGCTTTATCTTCAAAGCAATGCAGTAAATCTTCTAAGTGACGTTCTTGCATTTACTCTTGCTTTTATTGTCTAGGCCTTTCTCTATTCTGCAGACAAAAAAAAAAAAAAAAAAAAAACCTCAAAAAATAACATCTCTGAACACTCATGCCTTATACCGTATCCACTTTTTCCCTTACTCCCATCTCATCAAATTCTTCCTATGGCTTGAGTACCCCAAGACCGACCTACCTTTCATTCTCATGTAGTGCTACTTGCCCCCATCCAGCCTGTTTTCTGCCTTTGGAGTCTTGCAAAGAACCTCCTCATATCTGGATTCTCACCTTCTCCTCATAGAGTTTTTTCACGGACACTTCTTGCTTAAGAAGTTCCCGTCTTTTAACCTACCTGCCCTTCCTTCTATACTCGCTTAACCTGGTTTAAAACTGTGTACTCAAAGCCTCATCTTGAATACCACTTTCTTGGAGAATCCTTCCCTATCTTCCAGGCTTAGTCATTTCTCACTACCATCATGAAGCACCTGGGAGTTCCCACTGAAGGACCATGTCTAATTTAGTTTATTATTGAATCTCCCAGGAAAATGCCTGGTACATAAAACATGCTTACTTTTTGATGAATGGATAAATGAATAAGCCAGACTATCCAGATTGACAGGGTCCAGATCAGAGTTTGCAGTGTAGTGCTTTGATTGGTTTCACTGTTGGGTAAATGACTTGACTTGGATCTGGGCATAGTATGAGCATAAAGGGGGACTAGAGTCTGAAACCCAGAGTCTGGCATTTCAAATGTTGTTCAATGACACTTGTTTTTTGTTCATGTTTCCGTTTTTAAGTTACATACAAAATAGAATTATATTTAATAAATATATAAATTGATTTATATAATTATCTCTTGACTATTTTTTTATTTTATGAGTTTCTTCTTATACTTTTTCCTGTAATAATTCTCCATTTCCTTTTTCTTATATTTCATTCTTCCAGTCATTATGTTGTCACTCATTCACTATGTACTTTTTCCCCCCCTTCAATGTATCAATTTCTTTGCCACTTTGGATATCCAGATTCTCTGGGGGGAAAAAAAAAGTCTTTATAGAAATTTCTATCCTATCATGGAAATTAGAAATTACATAGTTCTTGTTGTTTAAGTGTTTATGTGCTTCTATTCTCTGTGAATTCCTGAAGGCAAGAGTCTTGTAGCTCTCATTTCGCCTCTCCTTCATCTGGGGGAGGAACCAGTGTCTATAGTAGAATGTCAAATAAATGAATGCCATTTGAGGAGACTTCTTTTGGCTGTACACTTAACAGTATACTTATATCTAATATTGCTTAAATTTGACACGATGTTTCAAAAGATACCTTCCACACTTATCCATCAGTTTTCATTGCATTATAGAGAATCAGAAAGGCTAAATGATGAAGATTTCTAGCACACAGAATGTGAGGAAGGGATTTACTGTATTCTTTTCTTTGTTTGTTTCCTCTGTGAGAGTACAGCTGGGCTATATTCTTAAAAATCTGGCCAGAAGGAAAACACCTCCATTCTTGATGAGACCCTGCACTGGCATGGACTGACTTCTCGCTTCTCAGTGGTTCTTTTGTTCTGAAGGATCTTCAGGCAGGGCTCTTATCTCTGTGCTCCATTAGTCTATAGCACCGGTTCTCAGCCTGTGGGTTGCAACCCATGGGAACTGTATGAAAGGGCCGTGGCATTAGGAAGGTTGAGAACCACTGGTCTACAGAAAGGAGAAGGATCCTGATTCTTAACATTCTACTAAATCCCTCTCCAGACTTCTGCCCCACCTCCCTCTGGAATTGAATCTGACAAAGCTACTCTATAGTGTCATATAATTTTATCTCTGTTCAAAAAAATATTTTTCTTTCTTTCTCCTCTGTAGTGAAAACTGGGGTCCATTTTTCTGGAGGTTTCCTTCAAACAGTCTACATTTGATGGAATTTTCTTTTTCTTTCCTCTCATTGTCCTAATATCTGAGAGGAAGCTTAATTAGAACAGCCAACTGAGGAAGAAATCAAATATTTATTTATTCTCTTCATTCAACATTGGGCACTGTTATCAGCACTGGGGATAACATGGATGTGTGTTTACTTTCAGAGTTTCTAAATAATTGTTCCTTATTTAATCAGTGGCATAAAATTTTATTCAGTAAGGGTCAAATATGAACAGGCTAGGCTACGTCATCACTTAATGCCTAATCTGACAGATATATTTTGTTTTCTTTTCAGTGTTTGCTTATAGACTATTTTATTATTTCGTTAATCAGTTTGTGAAACTAAATTTCACAAATTTCCTGAAGTTTCAGTATAAATATTAAATTGTTTTATGTGTCTAATTTCCGGATCCTTCTTCAGTTCTCCTTCTACCATTTTTATTTCCTCGCCCAAGATCATGAATAGCAAGAGCAAGAAGGTTTGCTGTCCTATTAAACTTGGATTCACCTTCATATTCCTTTTGAAAATAAGAAAAGTGAATGTAGCTCAAAGTAAATTAAATAATCATCCACGAACATTACAGCAGCCTCAGCTTTTTT